GAGAGAGAGAGAGAGAGAGAGAGAGAGAGAGAGAGAGAGAGAGAGAGAGAGAGATGATTTTGGTTAGATCTGAGATCCCGTCTTAGATCTGGTCTTGACCAGATCTCAGATCTGTTCTTAGTACTTCTTACGCTGATCTGAATAACAGTTTAAATTTTTTTATTTTTTAATTTAAAACAGGTTATGGTCCTGGCTCCGTTCTATTCTGGGGAGCATCAGTCCAGTTCCTATTCCACCGGCAAGTCAGAATATACATTATATTGAAATTAACACACGCTTCCTTCCGTTTGGCCGAAGGACCCCTGAACAACACTGATTGCTCCACCTTGGTCCACCGTGGTGGAGGATTGACTGCCAGCTTGCCATGTCCCTCTCTTTCCTCTCAGATCTGGAGGCCAGATCTGCCAAATAGTACTATGCGACCTAGAAAGAGCTCATCCTTTGTCCGTGCTGGCCTGCGTCCTCCCCACTCATCTGCCCTGCCCGTGAGGCGTGCTATCCCCTGTCCCATTTTATATGTCCCCCTTTCTTTAAATCATCACTAAAACCCTGAACCTTAAACCCTCAACCTGTGTACCCATACTCCAACATCCCTTTGAGTCAACCTTTTCCCCTTGTTCTGATCTTTTGGTGCCATCCGTCCATCTCCATGTTATTCATTCATAGTTGTAGTAGTTTAGGCTTGTCAATCTCCTGTGGAAGTCTGATCAGGAGGTGTTTTGCCCGTCCACAGTTATCTGTTGTCGCTAGCCTCTTCCTGAGTTTGAATTGTGCCAGTCTTTCCGGCAATTGCAGTTATCTCGTGTTCAAGAAGTGATTGATCCAACCGCGTTTAACCGCTGTTGGAAGCTTCTTTCTGGCACTGAGTTATGCCACTCTTTCCGGCAGATACGGTCCTCTAGTTGTGCCTGAAGCACTTGAAGTTCCTCTTCGCTCATGCGGTAGATACATCCGCACGGAGGTACAGTGCCGTCCTCGAGAGTGATCCCATGGCGTATGGGCTGATCCGGTATGACTCCGGCGGGAGCTTGAAAGACATCCACATAGCTGTCCAACAACTCAATGATGCGTGGGTCCGACGTATCCGTCTTGGGCTGATTACCGGGTGGGAGGGCGTGAAGAAAACATATGCCCATCTCCTCGATGTCGTTCCGCCGGATGGATTGGTGAATGCTCGCCGCGGATACCACATGACAACCAATCGAAGGATGAGGAAGCGGCACCGTACACGGGACTAGTTCGCCATGCCGATCACGAACGTGAACGGTGCGGCGATGGAAGTTCACCGGGTGGTCTTCGCTTTGCATCCACGACATGCCGAGGATCATATCGAACTTGGTGTCCAATATGTCGAAAGACACGGCCTCGCATGCTAGCGGTGCAAAGTACACGGGCACCGAGTCAACACATCGGTCGATCGACTTTTGCGTGTGACCGTCGGCCAACGTGACGTGCGTGGGCTGACTTTTCCTTCGAACGTGCGGGCCAAGCCCGACGTGCCATGAAGTCTTGGCCGATGTAGTTGTGAGTCGCTCTACAATCGATCAAGGCACTGCAGGTCGCCTTTCCGATCTGAATGCGGATGTAGAGGAGCGGCGCGTCGTTGTCGACGTACCGTTGCGTTGCGTACTCCCGGTCGATCTTCGCAAGATAGTTGCAAAGATCAACAACCGCTACTCCGCCGTCCGTCGACGGAGGTGGTACTGCAGCGTGCAAGTATTCGCGTAGATGTGCCATCAAGGCATTGCAATGCGGAGTTGGCAAAAAACCGGTGGAGGGAAGAGGCAACCATTGGAAGTCCTCAACCGTCAACGGGTCGAGATCCTCAAGTCTCGTCCAAGTTGACGGATCCTCCGATAGGAGGGCTGGCGAAGCAACAGGTTCGTTGTCCGACGGCGGAACTGTCGCGCATACGCTTGAATCTTGCACGTGGAGAGGCTGGTTCAACGGTGGGACCAGCTCGAAAGCATAGTTCTTGAACTCAACGCGAGAACTTGCGACTACCGCGATGTCCCCGAATGTGAGAGAGGCTGCTAGCAAGGCAGCCGACTCCGGCGGACTGGGAAATGTTGTCACTGCACTTCCCGCGGTGCTCAGTTTCCCGAGCCCGAACGCTTGACATTTTTCTTGTCCTTGTCGAGGCAGGCACTGGTGATGTGTTTGGTGTTGTTGCACCACAAACAGCATGACCATTTCTGTCGCAACTTGAACATTTCTTCCGTAATGCCGAATTTCGTCCATGGTGCCTGTCGTGCTCCATCCGCCGACGCTGGTTTCGCCTTTTTGTTTTCCCCCTCGGGGTCTTGAGCGTTGCGGTGGTATCGCCGCCGCCACATCTCCGTCACTTGATGTAGACGCGGCTGCGGGGTCCTCACTTGTTCCTTGCTGGACTGCTGCTACTTGTGGCGTCCGTTGTCCCTTGCCTTTCTCCACGTAACCGGGCTGTTGGCGGGTCTCGTTAGCCGCCCGCCGGTTACCTTGAATTAGGTCTCTTGCCTTTGAGATCAGATCATTAAAGGTCTCATATTGGAATTCCGTACCAAGCGCAGCTGTCAAAGCGTGGCATGACCAAGCGAAAAATTCAGCCCGAATTGCGTCGAATGGTAAGCCCAACTCCGGGGTGGCGACGAGTCTTTGCCACTCCGTCAGCCATTCCGGTGATGTTTGCTGGCCTTGGTAGATGCGGAAGATCTTGTTCATGGCGTGATGCTTGTCGTTGAATTCCTCCCACGTGATCTTGGTGTGGAGGGTGGCGATGGTGCATTCCAATGTGACTGCCATATGCGTCATGAAAACCTGCTCTCCTCCAATGAGTTGGAGGTAGAGAGCGTCAAGCCGTCGCAGTGGTGGAGTGTGATGCACGTCCGCCTCTGCGTTGAATGTTAGCCACCATTGCAGCGGATCGGTCATGTGATAGTCGTCGAACTTCTCGACCTTGAAGTTCGGCATCTTCCATTCCTTTGCGACGACGACCAGACGTTGGTCAACGCGGTCGTTGAGCGTCTGCAGCTGATTGCTGACTGTAGAGGCTCTTGCAAACTTGCTGATGTCGCCCAGGGATGCGACTAAATGATTGACCCGCTCCTCCAATTGCTTTGCCTGTGTGGCCAAAGCTGGGCTGCAGTCTACTGCTGCACTGCCCGTTGACGCAGCTGCTGACAGCTGTGCCAACCCCTTGCTGACATCTGCCTGCAGCTGGTGGTTGAGTGTCTGCTGCTGGCTGTTGGCGGCATGTAGTGTGCTGTTCTCGGCCTTCAGGGACGCGATCCTCTTGGCCATTGCCTTGAGTGTTGTTTCATGGCGGATGAGGACCTGCCGCGTGGCGAGCAGTTCACATTGCTGCCAATTGCACGTGTACAGCAGAGTCTCCATTAGTACTGCTGTCCCTTCCTTGTCTCTTTCTTCCTCGGTTGGCCGGGCTTGTTCTTCGGTCTCTTGGAAATGCTGTTGTCGAAGTAGCCTGACATATGTGACTTCGTCGCGAGCAAGGTCCATCGTGGCTTGGTAATGAGCCTGGTTCTGATCTGCTTCGAGCTGCTGCTGTTGCAACCGTGCGGCTGCTGCAGCTTCTGCTGYGGCCCGCTGACGTGCTGCTGCTGCCTCTGCCTGCTGGCATTGTATTTCCTGCTGGCGGGCGGCTTCCTCTTCTTCCCACTTGCGTAGTTCAGCTGCCGTCGTCTCCGAATACTGCTGGAGACGGTCGAGGAACGCTAGAGGCGGTTCATCGGCCTGCTGAACTGGGAGAGGAGGGGTAACCGGCCTCTTGGGGCTAGCTGGTGCACTGTTGTCAGAGGTAGCGGCCATGGTCGTGCGTGGCCTGCGCGGAATCCGAGGGGTGCTAAGTTCCTGTTGAGGCTTGGCTCCTGCGGATCCGCGCTCGGCCAGTCGTTGGCTGCGGCGCATCAAGGTATGTCGCTGCTGAGGTGGTGCCTGCTGAGGTGGCACTGCTGACGTGTCACTGCTGAGGTGGCACTTCTGCTGATGTGTCACTGCTGAGGAGGCACTCTGCTGATGTGTCACTGCTGAGGTGGCACTCTGCTGACATGTCCTGCTGAGGTGGCACTCTGCTGACGTGTCACTGCTGAGGTGGCACTCTGCTGACGTGTCACTGCTAAGGTGGCCCTCTGCTGCTGACGTGTCCGGATGCTGGCAACCGTATATCGAGAGGAGAAGAGAAGGTTGGGTGGGGAGGAGGGGCAGAGGGGCACACAATGCACAGACAGTCCCTTGTCCCCTGGCCTCGAAGTCTGACACTAATCAAAGAAAAAAAAATTCCCCCCCGGACGAATTTTCGAATTTTGGGAAATTAAATAAAATTTTAATCGAAAAATAGGAATTAATAAAAATTTAATTTCGGCAAAAGATTAAATACCTGATTAACGAATATTTAAATTTGCAATAATTAATTTCACAAACGTTAAATATTTAATCAGAATATTTAAATTTGCTCCAATAAAAGAAATGAATAAGTTTAAGCAAGTTTAAACATTTAGACATAACTTTCAAAAAAAAATTCCCGAACTTTCGTCGGGAGAATTTAGCGTCATCACGAGGTCACTCATTTAGAAGATGAATGGTAGCAGGAAGATACACAATTTGCTGGAAAGATTCAACCTTTCAATCGCAAAAGATGCAGTTTGCAAAAAGTGAAAGTTCCGTGCAGTTGCAGTTCGAATATGGCCTTGCTCAGGCCCGATCAGCCTTGATTGGCGCGATGCCTGGCTGGCACTTACTTCCAATAGGTCAGGTAGGTCGTTTAGATTAGGTTAGGACTCACCCTAATTAGCGCTAATTAGGTTTACTCGTGATTAGCGATTTTCCTAATTGTGCGATATGGAGAAATGTCACAAACCTAAAACTATAATTGAAACGACCTAATTAATCATGAAAGTACAAGAAAAGAAAAAATTTGCAACTTGCGATTTAATGATAACAGAGTGCAGGTATTGATAATCAATCGATCAAATCAATCAATCAATAAATCAATCAATTAATGGTGAGTCATCCAATGCTGGTCTGCTCCGATACCAAACTGTTGCATACTCGTGAAACACAGTCATAATGGCGCAGATTCCCAGATCCGACCAGATAATACAGAGTTAATACAAATGCAAGCGGAAGACTTGAGATACCTTGGACTGACTCAGACCTGACTCGGACTGCAATCAGACACTCTCAAACATTCATCAGGGGTGTGAATGCCCTGGCCTTAGACATAGACGAAAGGCCAGGGGCTGAGATCATCCACAGACGAAAGGGGAGAGGGAGAGACGAAAGGAGGAGGAGAGGGGAAGATGACATCAACTCAATGTCTCCAAAGATGGTATCTTGAAATGTCAGAAATGACGAAAATTCGAAATGTCACGAATGCCAAGTCTCACAATGTCTCAGATATCGATCTCACAATGTCAAGTACATCTCCGGAAGGAAGATGAAATCAGATCCCCAAATAGTCCTCAACTTGTAGTCCCAATGTCATCAGAACTCGTAACCATCTCCAATACTGTAGTAGTCCCGTAGGAGAAGTAGAAGTAGGTTTGGACTGAGAAGGTAGGAGGAGAGAGAGAGAGAGGGAGAGAGAGGGAGAGAGAGAGGAGCGGTGGAGGAGAGGAGGGAGAGAAGGCGAAGCCTTCCTCCCTGGTACCTGGCTATGGCGCTGCAAAGGGAGGGGGCCGGTAACTGGTGAGGCGCCCAGTGCTGCGCTAATCCGCTCTCCGCTGAACCTCGCTCTCTCACTGCTCCTCGCTGCTGCAGCGCTGCGCTAATCGAGCTAACGCTGGCTGCTGCGCTAATCCTGAAGACTAACTTCGTCCATACTAACCTCCTACAGAGGCTGGTACCCAGCCTTTTGTAGTGCTGGTCCGGCCTCTTGCCTACCGGCCTGGGCCGTTGATCTGAATCGACGGTCCAGATTCAAACTGGGTTTGGCGCCAAAATGTGGCAGCCTCTGAAACGCCGCCGGTTGGTCCTGGGCTGGACCGGTTCCGGCCTCTGGCCGTTTGGGCCTAAATGTGCCCTGCCTCAGGCCTATCTGGGCCTGGTCTGAACCGTCGTCCCTCTAGGCCTACTCTGCCTACTGGAACCGGGCCCTAATTGGGGCCCGTGTGGCTCAGTATGCCACAAGCAACCAACAAACCCTAGTGACATATGCAACAGCACCTCTCGCCCCCCCACCCCCGGCCCGCCACATGGCAGATACTTGTGATCATTGTGATTGGTGTGCCCATCAATATTCGTAATGGGCAAACGTCGATCGAAACAAGACAGGCGAAGATATGACAATATTACCTGTTGACAAAAACCAACTGGAAGTCCTATCCCTACCCCACTCCTTCTCGCCACCACAGTGCGCCTTTCCACACCCCCCATTCAATAAGCGGTGGCCAGAACAGAGAAGAGAAGGGGGAAAGAGGAGAAAAGAGTCGTCGCCTGTCCCCCGGCGCACTCACCGCGTTATTGTTGATGTCGATTTCGCCAGTCGCCCTGTCGATGATTCGGTCGTTGCTGTTATTGTTGTAATTGCTGTTATTATTGTCATTGCCGTCATCAGTATTGTTGTAGCTGATGGTACCGCCGATCTCGCCAGTGTCAAAATCACCGTTACCAAAACTGGCGGCCTCTGCGATACCGTTGTTGTTGTTGTTGACGTTGTTGCTGTTGTTGTTGTCATTGTTATTGTTGTTGTTGTTGCTATTGTTGTTGTTACTGCCTCTTTCATCAACACATGACCGTGAGATCACACCGACAACAACGCTGCCGGTGTTGTTGTTGTTGGTGTTGTCATGACTGATGATGCCGCCAATCTCGCCAGAGTCGCCATCAAAGGGACCGGCAGCAGCAGCAATGATATTGCCGTTGTCGCCGGAATCGCCATGAAAGGGACCGGCAGCAGCAGCAACGATATTGCCGTTGTTGTCGTTATTGTTGATGTTGTTGTTGCTGTTGTTGCTATTGTTGTTGTTGTTGTTTCTGTTGATGCCGATGCATGGACATCCTGCCACTTCAAATTAATTTAATATTACCTTTATTTCATGTCTCCCGGACTCTTACCATCTTTGACGTGTTTCTGGCAAATGTGTGTTGCATTCTGTGTCACGTGTCTTGGCTCTCTCCGGGGCGCTAATGCATCCCACATCCCGCCCACAATTGCCGTGCTGCAGACGGATGAGAGGTGGACAGACAACTGTCATAGAGGAGGATTACGACTCTGCTGATCGGATAAGTGAGACTGGGGTTGCTGCCATTAAAATGCTTAAGGAGAAACATAGGAGATTGTTGCAGGCATGCAAAGAATGCTGCAGCAGGGCTCTGGAAGACCTGCTTGGGAATGGTGCCGGTACCGAATGATGATGACGGGAAGGGTGCTGGTACCAAATGATGACGGGCAAGTCAAAGGTATAGACTTTTGGAAAACGAGAGAGGATCGCACATCATAGGGATTAGTGATTTAGTATACTTGCTTAACATGTAAGTGAGTAGCATTGGCTGCGGTGCAACGGAAGGAGCGCACGAAAGGTTAAGATTATAGATCGCGTGACACCCTTAATTGTGTACACGTGAACTAGTGAAGGTTGTTTACAGTATATTAGCTGGAATTGTTCAAATGGACAGGATTGAATAGTGTTGGGCTTAAGAAGCCTGGTTACAATAGATATATATGGGTATCATAGGGCCTCCTTAGCAAATAGAATTGCATAGAATAGGGTTGCAACTTGTATGACTTTGGAACAAAAGTAGGACAGAAAGAGCAGGCTTCGATGAACGCCCTAGGTCAATCTGGGATTGACTGAAATCGATCCTTGCTGTGAACTTGTGTTTTTCTTTACTCAAGAAGTAAAACCCTGTTTAACCCACCATATCCGAACTCCATACGGCGTGCACTTCGAGTGCTATTAACACTTGACGGCATGATTACCT